CGGAACCCCCTCCGGGGTCTGTAAGAACCAACCGCGCCTCCTCCGAGATCCATCAAATTCAACGGGTTGTCATCCACCGTCAGGCGGACTCAAGAGCAGACCCGCTGAAATGAATGGACATGGCTGACGCCCATTCATTTCAATGGTTCTACTTTAGTTGGGCAAAACCCAAGAGGACTTTGAAAACAGAATGCCAATCCCAAAGAAATCTCCCGGATTTGGGACCTTGCCTGTCTCCCAAGAGAACGATAAATAAATAGACATATTACCCTCTCATCACGTTGTTTCGCTTTTCTCAGTGTGGCCCAAACGTTTTTAATTCTCAAGCCACCCTAACACCTATCGTGGACACGATCCACCCGACGTGAAGCAATTTTTTAAAAGCCCGTTCATTTAAACCGGAGTGTTGGGGGTCCCGATCCCTGCGAACTGGGCAGTAGATCTACCGACTGCCCTGCGGCTTCCTCGCGAGAAATGCGTCTAGGGGATTGCAACTTTGAGCAACGCTCTGTATTTCTTGCGAGGGACACAGATTTATTCCATGATTATTATTAGCACCTACCGTCGTTTGTGCTGGTAGCATACTTAAAACTATTATTATTATTATTATTATTATTATTATTATTATTATTATTATTAGCACCCTAACGGTTTATGACACTTGCCATTAAAAACGGGTTTTTTTAAAAAAGAAAACAACAACCAGCCTACTGTTTAAATATTTCCACAACCCTGAATGAAATCGCAGGCTACTGGAAAACAGGCTTTCTGTTCAAAGGTTCTCCCTCTCCCTCTCTCTCTCTCCCCCGTTTTTCTTTAAAAGTGAAGGGGAAAATATTAAAAGCGCGCGCGCACAAAACCCCTTGCGCCTAGATCGCTTTCAAAGCCGAGAAAGCAGCCCACTTAATGCACGTGGATGGGCGTTATTCCCGGGTGGAATCGGGGGCTGACAGGTTACTCTTCACCCTTCCGAAAGAAAGTGCTTCTGATCTTGATCTTCGAATCCGGAGCGGGGCGGAGAGAGAAAGAAATCATTTGTAGATCAAGTCTAAACCCAGGCTGCTGAAAGGGGGCTGAAATTGACCCAGATGCGCGCAGGGAGAACAGCCTCGAGACCTGTTGAAATCTCGCTAACGACAATTGCTCGGGGGCGACTCTGAGATATATCAAAGATGGAGTCAAAAATAAGAATATTTTTTGATGTTATATATATTTTAAGTTTCCTTGGGAAGGAAGATTGGAGTTAAACTCGGATTAGCTACTTGCTGATGGGTATATTCGTCCCAGCCTTTTAAATACAGTGGTACCTCGAGTTACATACGCTTCAGGTTACAGACTCTGCTAACCCAGAACTAGTGCTTCAGGTTAAGAACTTTGCTTCAGGATAAGAACAGAAATCGGGATCTGGCGGCGCGGCAGCAGCAGGAGGCCCCATTAGCTAAAGTGGTCTTCAGGTTAAGAACAGTTTCAGGTTAAGAACGGACCTCCGGAACGAATTAAGTACAGTACTTAACCCGAGGTACCACTGTACGTCCCCCCCCATCACTTGCTAGAAACGGGGTGAGTGGATTAAATTTAAGGTTTTTTCCCCCTCCTATTCTTGGTGCTCTTATTTATGGAGAGATGAGCTTCTGGTTTTCGGTCAAAAGCCTTCGCTCCCAGGTCCTTTATTTCGAAAACAATTTTTATGGAAAATATTGTCGCTGCCGGTCCATGCAGACAGTACTGAGTTGGATGGCCGGGTGGTCTGGCTCAGCAAAATGCAGCTTCTTATTGAAAGAAGGGCCGTAACTCAGTGGGTGAGCATTCGCTTTGCATGCAGAAGGTCTCAGGTCCGCTTCCCTGAATCTCTAGGAGATTCAGGGAAGCCCCTGAACCAGGAGACCCCTGACCATTAGGTCCAGTAGTGGCCGACTCTGGGGTTGCGGGGCTCATCTCGCTTTACTGGCCGAGGGGTACAGCTTCCAGGTCAGGTGGCAAGCATGACTAAGCCGCTTCTGGTGAACCACAGCAGTGCACTGAAACGCCGTTTACCTTCCCGCCGGATCAGTACCTATTTATCTACTTGCACTTTGAGGTGCTTTCGAACTGCTAGGTGGGCAGGAGCAGGGACCGAGCAACGAGAGCTCACCCCATCACGGGGATTCGAACCGCCGACCTTCTGATCGGCAAGTCTTAGGCTCTGTGGTTTAACCCACAGCGCCACCCGCGTCCCTGGGGAAAACTCCAGAGAGCCGCTGCCGGTCAGTGCAGCGCGATACTAAGCTAGATGGTTTGACTCAGTGGAAGGCAGCCGAAGGAATCTCTGCTCAACCTGAGCCTTCTGCGTCCAGCCCACCCTCCTGACTCCTGCCTTCTTCCCCAACCACCCCGTCCGTCCTTCCTTGTTTGTTCGCCCGTCATGCCCAAATTCTCCTCAATGACAGCTCTTCTCCTCCGCCTCACCCCCATTTATCTCCCCTCAAAATCTACCCAGGACCACCAGCAGCCCCCGGGAAGGGAGATCCATGAATCATCCCTGAAGGGGGACGCGTGAAAGGGGGCCAGCATTTCCCCGGAGCTACCACTGTGAAAACAAAAGGGGGGGCGAGAGAGAGAGAGAGAGAGAGGGGCAAACGCTTTCTGAAAGCGGCGCTTTTACGCCTGCAAATCGCGCGTGGACCCCCGCACCTGCCGGCCTCGGAAGTCTGCCCTGAATGGAGCTTTTGATTCTATGGAGGGTAACAAAAGTGGCTTTTTAAAATTATTATTCTAAAAAAAAAGGAGGAGTATTCAGGCATCCAGAAATAATCCTGGGAAGGGTACTTTGCCTCTCACAGAGCCATAGCACCCAGCACCCTTAAGAAACTCTAGTTCCCAGGATTATTTGGATAGGGTGAGCATTGAAAAAGATGTGGATTGACTAACCATGTCTACTCAGAAGGAAGCCGTACTGAATTCAAAGGGTCTTGTGGTAAATGGGGTTAAGGGTTTGCAGCCTTAGCCAACCAGACTGAGGTGGGAAGCGGGGAGAGAGAACCCCACCTCTTTAGGAACGCCAAAATACAGGTTCCAAACCCTGAGGCGGTGTGGTATAATGGTTAGAGGGTCGGACTAGGATCTGGGAGACTGGGGTTCAGAAGCCTGATTCAGCCGTGAAGTTCCCAGGGCGACCTTGGGCCGGTCACGGTCTCTCCAGCCCAAGCCACCTCACAGGGTTGTTGTGCACACTTGGAAGTTATGGGCACGCCAACCACACACCGTTTAAAGTGGAGCCACATGGATTAAAAACACGACAACAAGCCCGATTCACATTTGAAGTTGCCAGAGGACAAGACCCGTCAGCGTAAAATTCAGATCCTAAACACCCCACTCACAGCACAATCCCATAGACGCCTATTCAGACCCAAACCTCATTGAAGGCAATGGAACTGGCCAGTGCTTTTTTTCTTTAAAAAAATGTTTAGGGGTACTCTCATTTTGACTCAAGGAAACCACCATTTTATAGTTCAAATTGGGAAAAATAAATACAGTAAATGGACAAACGGACAAAGATTCCCAAAATGTTTAGGGTTATGCGTAACCCCCCCCCCCAGAAAAAAAGCACTGGAACTGGCTTTCAGTTAAGCGTGTATAAGACGTGACAATTTAACAGTCCTCAGCGGTTATAACTTTCAAGGAGGAGGTTTGCTTAGAAAGGAGGCCTTCGCTGGATCGGCCCCAACGACCTTTATTCTGCACTGGATCCGTCTCACCTTAAATCCAACAGAAGGAAAAGTTGGGGTTTGGACTTTCCCCCCCTTTTTAATGAACCTGAACTTGTTTCATTTGCTGTATTGTAAAGCGCCTGAGGAACCTTTATGACCGAAAGGCGATCTACAATAGAATAAGGCAAAACATGATCTAAGATCAAACCATACAAAACTGCTGGGTTGTTGTTGTTTTGCGTGTAACTGAATCTGACCACTAGCAGCGCTAACCTCTGCTTGGTTACTCGGCAGTAAGTTACACTGCATTCAAACGGAGCTTCCTCCTTCGTAGGCGCGTTTAGGATTGCAATCTACGTCTGCAGTCCCAATAGGGAGTAAAGCTGCGAGTAAGTCTTATTGAACTCAGTAGAGATTGGTTTTGAGAAAGCAAGCATAGAATCCATTCAATATTCCTGTTGCGCTCAGGACGCAGGAAGGCCTCCGTCAACAAGCGTCGAAGCGTTCAGTTGTGGATTATTTGTTTAGAATTCAGGAAAAGGGTAACCATCCACAAGTTCCACTCTTACAGCGCAAAACTAGATGTGCTTCCTTGGAAGCAAGCCCTGGTGTGTTGAGCGAGACGTCTGAGCTGCATTCCTAACCCCACTTACTTGGGAATGAGTTCCATTGAATTCAATGGGACTTCCATTTGAGGAGACATAGGTTTGCACTCTCACTCCCTAGTCAGTCTTTAGATCGTAGCCTCAGTGTGTGGAGAGAGAGAGTTATATTCCCCAAGGTTCAGATGTTGAGGTTGCAACCATAAACACATTTACTAGGGCGCAAGACACCTCCGTTACCAAGAGTAAAAATTGTCAAGATCGCGCGTTCCAAAAGCATCTGTATGGGAATATGGTTATCCAGGAATCGATGGTTTCATGACTAATAATAATAATAACAATTTTATTATTTACAGCCCGCCCATCTGGCTGGGTTGCTTGGACACCCTCCCCCCGCCCCCAATCTTTGTAAATTTCTAATTGGACGAGTTACTTGGAAGTGGCTGAAACCTCTGAAATAATTGGAGATTCCTTCTCTGCCAGATACTTTCTGTAGAGGTTTGGCAACTGTCATTCTAGCAGATCTTTCTTTTCAGCAACCCCAAACACTGTGAATGTTTCAGACGAGAACTAGCTCAGCAGTTTCAAAATCCGACTACGCAGCAAAATAACCAGAACTACCACTCTTTTAATAAGCCCTAGTGACTCTTAAAAGGTAAAACAGAAAGCACTTTATTTATTAAAATAGAACCATATATTCCTATTTTAGGATTACGCGCTGGTTTTTAAAACCTAGGTGCATCTTTTAAAAACATGGACAGTACATATAGAATTACTTATTATATCACCGTTAGTATGCGGCATTGTTTTGTAAACCGCTTTTTCCTAGGCTCAAGCGGTATATAAATCCTGCTAAATAAATAACATTATTTATGTTTCATCTGAGGCTCCAGCTGTTTTCGAAGACAGCTTCCTTCAGCTCCAGCCAGCCACTTGCAGCCCCAAACAGCTGGAGGGCAGCCGGTTGGCAAAGGTTTTGTGTCTCAGCGATTTGGATATGGAGATGTTATTTTGTGCTCTTCTGTTACGATCTCCCCAAACCAGTTTTCCAATCGAAATCTTCGCAGACGTATCAACAAGCTTGACATTATCTGCAAGCGTACGGGAGAGAGAGAGCTGTTGACAGACAAACCCATACTTCAGTTCTCCTTTGATACTTGCTTATTCCTTCTCTGATACGTAAGGCTTTATTTAACCCATTCTCTGCCGTAACAACAAGAACAATAAAATGAATAGGACAGAAATACAAAGAAGAACTCTCCCTCCTTTTAACCGTGTTCATCCAGAAATCAGTCTCATTGATCATGATTGTTGTTTATTGATGGGGTACCTAGAATTCAACGTAAGTCCCTCGTTTCAGGGGAAGATAGGATTTCAGCTCAGGAGTCTCCTAGGGCGCCTCAAAAACTCGACACGTGTCTTGTGGCCTGAACTCTTCCCCTCGAAAAGCAGTCAATGCATATCTGACGCAGAATGCGGGAAGGTCTTTGGACGATCCAGACGTTGTGCATTAGGACGCGGTAATCCATGCTGGTCTAGTCCCGCTCAGAGTCCAGCCACGGACCTCAGTTAGTCTTGTGTTCGTGAATTGTAAGGGCTCGACATAAACCGCTCCCTAGAATGACAGCTTCCCGGGGTTCCCTCCGCCTACGCGGTTTATAATACAGCATTCGCGGGCACCTCAATTGTCAGCGGAAAAAACTATTTTTTAAAATCAGATTGAAAATCTGTATGCCATGTACTCTGTGTGTGTGTGTGTGTGTGTGTGTGTGTGTGTGTTCATATATATGCCATATATACGCATATATACACACATACATGAGATGTATAGTTTTAGAACCCGCCCTATTTTTGTAAAGTTAAGTTGTTTTAAACTGTTAACATTGTGCATTATTGTGTTTTATATTAATGTTGTGTTTCAATTGTCGTCACCCGCCCTGGGACCTTCAGGCGAAGGACTGGCAATAAACTGTAGTAGTAGTAGTAGTAGTAAATAATAATAATAATAATAATAATGTATTCATACACAAACACACACACGCTCTCTATAATTTATTTCTGTTGTTATTGAAGTAACTGGCCCTGTGAAATTAGCCTGAAGGGCAGGTTTGAAATCCCATCAATTAATTAATAACATTCCCCGCCTCTCTGAATCAGGAGCCACTTCGATCACTCTTTGCGCGTTTGATCCCCAAAGTCTGAGCAGCCGCACTAGTCACCCGCCGACCCTCAAACTATCAGCGGTGGGTGGGTGGAGGATGCAAGCGCAGCTGGATCCTTCAGTAGCAGAAGTTTTGCAAAGGAGCCAAATAATAATATTAACCTTTCTGGGGGGCGGCTGCTACCGACCTCCAAATATTTAGCAACCTGGCGCGTAAAGGATGGCCGGCATTAGAAAGCAACTCCCTCTCTCAGGAAATACATAGGGATTGTGGCTACCTGCTGCCGGCCAAGTATAAGACATCACCATGTGTGGGGGGCGATGAAATATACCGTCCACGCTCTGTTATTGCGCAGCGTTGTTTGTATCCATTTATCTCTTTTTAAAAAAATAAAATACAACACTCTCCAAAATCTGTTATCCCTGGGAGACTCGCTAAAATAAGTCGGAATATTTTTTATTTATTCTGATCTTTATTTCAAATGATCCTGACTCCTGATAAAGTGAGAAACCTTAAAATTTAAGTCAGCTAGCTCTTGCTTAGAAGTAGACGCCGTTGAGATTATTAACTTGCTTTAGGGTGGCTCCTATCCAACCGGAGCGATTTGCGCTGAGGTTTCCTTCAGATTGTGGGGAAGATTCATCCAGGAATCTTGACTTCAGCAGGACTAAGGCTGAAGCTCTCAACGATTTTGTCGGGGAATAAATTCCCCCGAACTGTATGCCCAGTAAAAAACAAAAACAAACATAGGATCGCGATTCATCTTAAAATGGATCGCATATCTGGATCCGATTTAAATCCAGAATCGACGGCTTCTCTCTGCTGTGCTTTTCCTTACCTATATTAACTAAACGAAACAAGCCACAACGACATTTTTCAGGGAATAGATCGCATTGCCTTCAGTCCGGATTACTTCTGCCTAAGCTTCCTTAGGATCGCAATCACTGGAACGCATTCGACTTGGGTTTAGACATAAAATAAAATAAATAAATACTTGTCGCGAGGAAGGCAGGAGATGGCTGCAATCCTAAACACATTTTCCGGAGAGGAATGAACCCCTCCGAAAACAGAATTCGTTTCGGAGTAAGGGCGCATAGGATTGGGCTCCGCTCGCCGACAACAACAACAACAACGCTTTTCAATGTTGTGCAAAAGTTTACATAAATTAGCGGTCAAAAAAGTTCGTGCGTCTTGTTTATATACTCCGCAAAATCTGCCGGTTTTTATTTATCTGCTTAAGCAAAATACAATAAACCGGAAGCCTTTTCTCCTAAACTTGGTTGTCCGGCAGATTCCTGCTTCCGGATTTGGAGAGATCTTAAATTGCTTGGGCTTCATTCAGGTCCGCGTTTCACCCACAGCCGGTCACTTCGAGTCGCGGGCTGCTGTTTAACTGTCTCTTTGTTTCCGGGAGGGGATTATTTTTCAAGACAAAACATCTCCTTCTGAATATATCCCGAATACCCATTAGACGCAACTGTTTTTCTTTCGCTCTTTTTTCAGAGCTGCCAATTAATAGGATCCCGGCTCCATAATCCCACCTGGCGCTTGCAAGAAGACCTACTTTGCGACATTCTTTCGCTCTTGTTTTTCTGTGGACGGGATTTCAGCCTCGGATTTGCCCCCACTTCGCTTGGACCGGCCATTTCCTGTTGGAAAGGCTAGTTGCGCGTTAAACACAAACAGCGGGGGGGGGGGGTTAAAACAGGGCGGGAGAAACTATTTTTCTGCACCTCCTGTGGGAGATCGTGAGCCATTTTTACACCTGCGTGAAAAGGCTACTCAAACGCGTTCTCGATGCGGTACAGAACGCAGAAATTACGAGCGACGTTTCTGCCCCGAGGGTTTACAATCCACAAGACTGGGATCTGGGGGCGGAAAGGGGGATAGGGGCTATGGATGAACATTGGAGGCACCAATAGGAGGTGGGGGTCAAGTACACCCCCACCACCAGACACATAAACATTTACTTCCCCCTCCCTCATTATTGAACAGGAAAACCTCCTTCTCGGCTTAAGGGAGCTTTAGTTAGATTGGAAGCGCTCTGTGATGCTTTTCTGTCGGTGACATAAAAATGAGAGTAACGGAAATCAGTCGCAAAGTCTGGGAGATCTGATTCTGTGGAACTGGCTGGAATATAGCCAGTCAGTTTTATGGATCTGAGCGCGTTTAGGATCTCAGACCCGGGGCATGAGTGCAAGAGTGAGCGCGTGATTTCTCTCTCACGCACAAACAACGCAGCCTGCGGAAAACCGGATCTGGAGCCTGGTACGCGCGAGAACGTCCTTGCAGGGCACCGTCGGTTTAAACTTTAAAGCCTACACCCTGCTTGTAACAATCGCGGCTTGTTATAAAGCCCAGTCCTATGCGTGGCTCTCCATAGAGTTCAGTGGGGCTTACTCCCAGGCCAGCGAGCGTATAGGATCGCGGTCTTACAGTGTAAGCCTAACATCCAGGTCTGTTTTAGAAGCAGGTCCCATCGGGTTCAATGAGGAGGACTCCCAGGGAAAGGGGCATTTAGGATCGCCCGTTCACAGGGTGCTATGCTCTCCGCGTCTACTCTGAAGTAAGCCCCGCAGTGCTCAGTGGGGCTTATTGCCAGCTAACCGGGTACGGGATCACTGCCTTAATAACAGAGCGCGGCTTGCAGTAACAACAGCCGTCCGCTCCCAAGTGATTCTTTCCAGATTAGCAAAACCGGATTGAGATGGGCCGGGCATCGCCTTAATTTCGTACTAATAAATGCGAGCAAGCGGGTGGGTGTAATCCGGCGCCCCGCCGCTTGATGGCTTTTAGAAGGCTGTTTCTCTCGCTGAAACTTTCTCCTAATTTTAACAATTATTTCCCACCCACCCTCCTTCTAATTAAACACGTTTTCCCCTGTTATGCTCGGCATCTTAAACCGCCTCATTGTGGGGTCTCATTGTTTTAATCTGATCTTGATCTCTTTTGGATCCGTTTCCTCTCGCCTTCCTGCGAGCTCACCGGCTAAGGAAGCTTCACATGTTGCAGTCCTGCGCTTTTACCTCGGAGTAAGCCCCACTGGATTCAAATGAGGCATACCTACGAGTATGGGGTACATAATGAGTTTGTGCGATGAATCAGCCACGTTTTTTGCTTGGGAGGGGGTGGGGGTTGTAGACTCGAAGGCGTGAGCAAGTTCCTGCTTTTTAAAAAATCCTATTTTCCTCACTTTTCTTTACTTGGCAGCAAAAGGCATCTGGTAGTCTGTGTTAAGCGGTCTCCAACTTTTTCCGTCCTGGATCCCAAACCATCATTTCTAAATGGGGTCGTTTCTAAACCGCCTCTCAGCCAACCGCACAAGGCGGTTTACAAACATCCCTGAAATGCACCAGTGCACGACAAACCATAACATTATCGCCTTGCGAATATCACAAAAGTGTGCAACTCGGTGTTATGTAAAAACTTCTTAAAGATCTGTTTTTAATTAATCAATCCAGCTAAATCAAACATGAGGTAAACGTGTAAAACATACTAGTATAAAACTAAAGATAAAAGGCAACCTTGAAAAAAAGCAAAGTGTGTCTAGATCTTTGAAAAAAGAACCGAAAGCATATCACTTACATTTATAGACCCCAGGAGAATAAAAAAGGTATTTTCCAGGCAAGAAGAAGAACGTAATGTTGGTGCCAAGTGGGCCTTTGGGGGGGGGTATTTCACAGTTGAGATGCCACCACTAAAAAGGCCCTAGTCACCTCCTTGTGTGTGTGGAGCAACACTTGGCAGTGCTAAACTAGGGGCCCGTTTAACTCCATCTTTTGCACCCCTCTCCTCTACACTATTGCATGTCAACCCTCTACACCATTGCATGCATTGCACCTGCAGGCTGAGGATAACACCAGAAGCTTCCTTAAACTGAGTCAGGTCATTGGCCCATCTAACTCAATAATGTCTACACTGACTGGCAGTGGCTCTCCGGGGTTCCAGGATGTGGGATCTTTCCCAGCCCCACCTAGGGATGCTGGGGATCGAACCTGAGACGTTCTGTAGGCAAAGCAGACGCTCTGCTTCTGAGCTACGCCCTTCCATAGCCTCTAGGGGAGGTTATGGCATAACAAACGTGTTAGTCTTTGAGGTGCTACGCCGTACACGGGCACCTTCTTGTTTCCCCAACAGGCACAGATGGCGGAGAGATAGACACTTGTCATCGATCTATGTACAACTGATCGAGAGGCAGGAGAGACTAAGTGATAAGGTAGATCAGTCAGTCCCTGCCTATCTCACTCAACAACTCAGAATCGCAAGTGGGTCAGAGATGACAGAATATGAGGGCGCGTCTGGTGTCCAGCCCAGCGAAAGTCCAGCAGCTAAAACCGCAGCACTTCAGCCCTTAAGCAGAAAACAGCATTCTGCTTGTTTCTGCTGCGCCAGCATCCGGACGCCGTAACTACCTGAAATG